GCCATTGTTTCTTGCTAATAAGATAGAAAAGTTGAGCATTCAAAGACAAAAGTAAAATTACAAAATTTACAACAAATCAACCTCACATCACAGCAAGAAAATTGAAGATAGGCAAGCAAAGCAGTGGATACAGATGAGTAGAACCAAAGAATACCAAAATTATACACAGCGTCCATCACCAATGCCTAGTCCTCTCAAATCCTAAGAGAAACTTTTTCCGGATATGACATCACCCATTAGATGTTGACCAAGACCAATGTATTACTTCAAATTTGCCAAACTATGAACACATAGCATAAAAAATAAGTTAAGCCATCAACAAAAAGTCCAAGAAAATTGATAATTACAGGTGCTTGTTTTCGTTCATTCTATCTTTACCAGTTTTGCTCTTGTTCCTAAAGATACCTTATACTATGTCTTGCAATATTACATTTTGGAGTTTACATGTGATCAAACAAGTGGACTTAAACTCGAATAGTGGTACCTGTAGAGAGTTTTGACTCGGAAGGCTAAGGTAAGTGATTGGTAAAAGGTTCTTTCCTTAACTTTTCTCTGGAGCATATGAGTGTCTCTCAAGTATTGTACTCCACACATGAAGTCACACTTACCTTTTGTCACAGTCCTTATTGTAACAGCCAATCACATTCGTCAGTAAAATTTTATTAGAAAATTGATTAAGAGTTTTAATATTAGATAAGTTCAAGTGGAGAACCCTAATACTTTGAACTAACAAGATATATAAGTTTGATGTAAGACGCTCTACAATTTCAAACAATTAAAGAGAACATACCTATAAAAGCATATTAGAATAAACCCCAATTGAATTTTACACTGAGATTGATAATTTTCAACTGAGAATTGTCAATTTAAATTTGGTTCTTAAACAATGACAGACTCTATAAAGGACGCTAGAATCAAACAAAAGTTAACTACCACAACATTCAGCACTTCAACGTCTGCCCTAGTCCTCCTCTCTATCCTCTTTACTCATCCCATTCATTTAGCTCTGGCACTACCTAAGCCTAATACCTGAAGGGCCATTTACAACAACTATATTCATAGCCAGCGGCTTTTGGCTACCAGCATATGGCCACACTCCCATTATTGCACTTCTAAATCTCATTTTCCATTGTACCAAATCAAATAATCCACTGCTTTTGCACTTAAATTATCAGAAAAAGAAAAATTTCAAGGTGAATACATTTTAAGCCCTCATTCTCCATGCACACTCTTTAATCTGACAGTATGGTTTAAGAAGTTCCATTCCCCTCTAATATTCCTCCATAAACTAAAACAATTCTAACTGCTTCACAATTCCACTATCTTCACCCTTTGCAACACTTCAAAACAGAAACACCCTTTTAAAAGCATAATGCCAAAACTGTTTCCTTCATAGCAGTGATAACAAACATATACCAACCGACTAACACACCTTTCATACTTTTATCATAGCTACCGAGGACAGAACCAAGGGGTTTGGGTGGCATTAAACAGGCTCTAATAAACAGATAAAGCTTTCTGGAAGCACCAAAGTAGACAAGGTACCTAATATGACCATTTGCCCTGAGAGCTCTTTAGTGAACTTCATAACCCTTGCAGAATCAGTAGCTCTTGCACCCACTGCAGACTTTGGGACTTCTTTGGCAACATTCTCAATGTTTGAGGTCGAAGATCTTAACTTATTAACAGTTGTATGACTAGCTGAGTTATTTGTGTTTCCTCCCTACATGAAAGGAAAAATTTTCAGTTAATAATATTACTGACTTTTAAAGAACTCTAAAGTCACACTAGTAATAGAATTATTAATAGACATAATAGATGTTCACTCTCAACATCACCTCCATGGACTTGTCCATATCATCACTTGTACCCGCGTCGTTCTGTGAGAAGCTCCTTTGGTAACTGGGAGATCGTTGAAAGCCTGAATCATCGAGTGGATCTGGCCTCCTGGTCAATAATACTTTACCAGGAATACTACGACCCTTAAGCAACCTTAATAACAGCCATAAAGGAAAATTATTATTTGTATCTAAAGCAGCAATTGTGAGAAAAGCAAGTGCATGAAACAAAGACAAGGGGTGAACACTCCATGGACAGCATAGAGGAATAGTTACACAATTTATTAGCATGTACTCTAAGATAAAGGTATTTTCTAAATTGACAATAATGGTGAAGGCAATATTTGCATTTATATTCAGAATAAAAGTAGAAACCACAACGAATTTCCTAATACTCACAAAAGCTACACTGACAAGTTAATAAAGATAACATAACAAGACATGGGAACTCCACTGAAGAGGAAAATTTTTTATTTAACTTCTGTACACTCGAAGAGTGATTTGAATTAAGAAATCCAGCATTGCAACTAATATTAGCATTTATCTTCAACCAATTTGCATTAAGAAATCCGAGCTCAGCCATGTTATCATTAGTTCGAATATTCAAAAGATATACATTTTTGTTCTATGATATCTATGAACTTCCCATGGCAAAGAACCATCCTTTTTATTATCAGGAAAAACCAAGCTAAATGAAAAGAAATAACTTATTTTAAATCCCTCTCATTCCTACACTTGTCTGACCATAACGCCATAATCAAATTACAGCATACACCAAGATCAAGAAATCCTACATAAATGACATTTTCAGGAAAAAAAATTAAATGCTACTATAATAGAAGCCAAAAGAATCATCTACCATAGGAAGGAGAAACAGATATTTTTTCACTAAGTAGAACTTGAGAGATCTGACTTTAATTCCCAAACGGGTCTTTAAATCCAAGTGAAAACCGCAACATTTTACACCCAATAAACAGAATGAACAATTTTAGCAAATCACAGTTTCCCTACTGAAAAGGAAAATTCTTCCACGTGACTTGAGAATTGAGAGTGAAATTTCAAAGATCCAAAGATAATTCTCTAATGGGTATCTAAATCCAATAACAAACACGAGTACAAGAATCCAGATTCAACAATGAAAAAAAAAAAGAGAGAGAGAAAAGTCATGGAAATTGGAATAGTGAAACGAGGTACCCTTGAACGTTTCTGAGGGTTTGGTTGAATCTGGAATCAAGGCTTTCTTTCTTACGCTGATCGTCTTCTCCGTGGCTGACGTTACTGTTGTTGTTCATGATTTTGTTGCTTGGCGTCGCTGTGTAAAGACCATGCTCTGTTATTATTCTTTCTGTGTGCTTCTCTTTTCTCTGACTAGGTACTCCTTTCGTTCTTCATCTCATGTCTCCCTTTGAAGAGAAGCTCAACAAAACATGCAGCACCAAGCATAAACCATAGGGGCATAAAGCACTAATGTCGAAGCTACCTAAGAAAGCAACAATTTAAGCTCTACTTATGTTGATATTAATTTCTTCATTTTTGTGTTTATTGAAGTGAATAGTGTTTTGTTCCTTTCGTTTAGTTGGTGCAAGAATTGATGAAAAGTTGTTAACAACTCAATTAAGTAATTTAATATGAAATTATTACGCACAATATTGGTATTAATTATAAAAAAAATAATTTATACTATATAATTGGTATAATATTTTAAAAATTTTCTAAACTACTCAAGAAAGAAAAATGTCGCATTTACAAATTACTTACAATATTTCTACCTTTTGGATTTTCAGGATAGAAGACAAAAGTAAACTAGTCAGGCTCCACAAGTAACCGATTGGAACAATTTCCTTATGCAAAAGGCTGAATTCCAAGCAAATGAGAAATCTTATTCATTAGTAAATGATAAAAATAATGGCAAATGATAGTAGAATAAAGCAAAAGGAGCTTCTTCTTTTTTATTTTTTGGTTTAAATACAAGCACTAATGGTAGTTGATTGGTTGTAGCATTACATGTCCACAAGGATAATGTCCTATTTGGCACGTATACTTGGGAAAATGATACTTACACTAAAAAAAAAAAGAAAATTCATTGTGGTACCTAAATTTTAATTTTATTTTTCACTTTATCATAGTATATAATACTGTTAACAAAAATAATTGTATAATTTTTAATTAATCAAAATGAGAAACGTCACAAAAAAAAATGACATCATGAGATTATTTCAACTTGTAAACATAGATAATATCATCTAACAAATTTTTTTAAGAAAAAAAAAACAAATTTTTTAACAAATAAAGTTTTCTTTTTTTCAAAAACAAAATACACAAAAAAAATTAAAAATAAAAATTCTTCCTTGCCAACACTCTCCTCTCCTCTCCCTCTCTCCCCCCACCTATTAGCCTAATCTCTGACCAAACGAGATCGAAAATTTAATTCCATATAACGATGTATAAGAGAGGGAATATATATAACTTTATTAGTATTCTAGCTATATCTTTATCCCATTTATAATCTTAATTTATAATTTTATGACATATTTCAAATACCCTTCTATTGCCTAAGCCTGATAATCTTTATGTTATAATTTCTTCTTTGGGGTGGGACTGTAAAAGTGACAAACTCTCACTCTTTTAATACAACGCAAGCTCATTTTTTATGCCACAACACAATGCTTAACATTAAAATATATTTAATTTCATGCTTGCCCTATTATGACAACCCAAGTTTAGTGCTACTTTTAGAGATTTTAGTTGGAAGATTAAGAAGTTAAAATAACAGGTTGTTATGTTTATTGTTTTTAACTCTCTTAAAATTTAAAACTAAAATTGCTTAAAAAAAATAACGATATTAACAAATAGAAATACTATAATTTAGTTTGTTAAAATGTTTTGTATTTGTTTAGCACTTCCAGCTCATAACTAGCTCACATTCGAGATGTTATCAGGTCCAAAATTTATAAAATTCTGGTTGGAATTTATAACAAAACACTAGAAAAACTTAATACAAAAATTCACAAAAATATACACAAAACTCAAATTAACCTATCATTTCAACATATCAAAGTGGGAAACTTGTTTCTTGGTTTTGAGCTATAATCATGGCTTAGCTTGGTTGCCGTATCTCTGTCTGTGTTTTCGTCTTCTTTTATTGATTACAACTATTCTCATATGGTGTTGGAGATGTTCTTGAAGTACCACCATTCAACATTAAACAATAGTCTCTTTTGCAACATCTGTCCCTTGGGGATATCAAAATTGATTTGCCTGCTCTTTATGTATTTGGAGACTCCTACGTTGACAATGGAAACAACAATTTTTTGCCCCATTCTGCTGTAGCAAATTATCTACCATTTGGAATTGATTTTGATGGAAAACCTACTGGTCGTGCCACCAATGGTAGAACCGTAGTAGATTTCATTGGTATGACAAAAACTTTATGACCATTTACTGTTGTTTTCAATATATATATATATTAGTACATAGTTTAAAATAATATCATATTATTTTCCCTTTTAAATTTGAAGAATGAGAATAAAGAGATCAAACACCAATTGTGGAGCCAAAAATACTCGAGGGTTTTACTCTTATTATTAGATAAATACTTCTAACTTAAATATCATTTCGAGAATCGCACATTTAAATGAACTTATTACTTTGATCGTTTTAATATTTCCATGTTTTGGGAATAAGTTTCTAAAATTTTATTCATGAAACATGCACCCTAGCATAGAGAATTCTTCATTGCTTTTGACTTCATATCTTGGATTTTTTTTAATTTGAGCAATGATTTATTGGGTAATAATCCATTTTTTGATAAACCTCCATTATTTATTATATAAATATCCACTGTAGCAAAAACTTTGGATGTGAAATATAACATTAACTAAGTCGTTTTCTATATTTAATAATGCAGCTACAGTGGGTGGTTTTCAATACCCACCGCCAATTTTGGGTATGTCTGAGGCAGACAGGAAAACAATTCGGACTGGCGTGAACTATGCCTCTGGTTCCTCTGGAATTCTTTCTGAAAATGGACCTTCTATGGTAAAATACCTTGATACATTAATATAATTTTATAGATGATTTTATTCATCTTGTTAAAATTGCATCTAATTTTAGTCTTGACAATATGATTCTATCAATTATAATAGGTTTAAGAAAATTTATGATAAAAAAAAGTACTCAAATTCAATTAAAATGTTTTTACTAGGTGAAAATTAACCATATACTTATAATAAGTATCAAATCATTCTGTATTCATTTGATGAGTTCACTAACAATACAGCATTTTGCAAATTTTCCTACACCATGTAGCATATGAATGTGCTCAACTTCTTCCAACAAGTAGACCTGTTTGAGAACACAACCTTGAAGGATTTGAAGAATTCATTTGGCAGCACAGAAAGTTTCACTGAATACCTTTCCAAGTCTCTTTTTTTTATCCATACTGCGAGCAATGACTTAGGGTTTACCTATGAAACTACAACATCGAAAGACTCTCCAGATAAATATTCCCAAGTGCTTGTTGGAGAGCCTTTTAAGCAACTGCAGGTAAATATTTAAAGTATTCATCAAATTCTTAAAAGATTAATGCTCTTTTATTTAATTTTTAACTATTCAACTACTCACAAATAATATGAACATAACAATTTTATGAATTGTTTTTTTTTTGAAGTATTTCTAGATAATCAAATTGTCGGTTACTTTACTCTTTTTTATTATTAAAATGTGAATCAAAATGTTAAATCACATGTAAAATTTGTGAATTTGTTTTTAATGCAGAGATTGTATAAGCTTGGTGCTCGTAAATTTTTGATGAACAACGTATCTACGTTAGGGTGCCAACCATTTAACATAAATACAAAAAACCACACAACATCATGCGTCGAAGAAGTGAATGAGCGAATAACTATATACAATAAGCTTCTTTCCAATTCATTAGCAAAGTGGCAATCCACTCTTTCAAGGATCTAAGTTTTGGAGACTTTTATAAGATTTTTCAAGATATCTATGCATCGCTTGCATCATACGAAAAGTAAAAATTATTTACAATGGTTAAAAATGTAAATGAGTTAAATTACTTTCATGAGCAATTCTGTCTTAATTCTTAACAATACTTAATCTGAATTCATTTGTGGTCGAATCAAATTGAACTAATGATTTTAGTCGACTTTGAATTTTGTAATAATACTCTACTCAAGTGACATTTAAGTTTTATTTAAATTTTAAAATTAAATTCTTTAAGTTGATAGAATCGGGCTAGGTCCACTCAGATTATTTTTTAAGCTGAAATTGAGTGAAAGAAGATAAAGCTGGATTAAACTCTCTCATCCTTGAAAACTGAGCACAAATAGCGGAAACTATGTCTTTGATTTTTAATTTTATGATATAGCTTACAAACTCTATTTGTATAATTTTGTATGCAGGATTTGAGGACGTAAACACTTCTTGCTGCTTGGATACGAACGGGGCTAGGATTCTTCCTTGCGCTCAAAATGTTGCACCATGCGAAGATAGAAAGAGTCGTGTATTCTTTGATCCATTCCACCCCAGCGAAAGCATGCATTTCCTATGGGCCAGGCGTCTGTTGAAGGATTCCTCTGTTTGCTCCCCCATCAGTTTGATTCAGTTGATGCAGGCTTAATTATGTGAACACTTGGTTACTTTGTATGTCATTGGTTTCACGATATCATACAAAACCACATAGAAGCATGGGTTTTATTTGTTTGTAAGCAATTAAAAAAATGGACAAAGAGAGTTAAATGAAAAAAATGGAATTGGATTTTTTATTCTTTCCATATGAGCACTAACGGTAGCAGAATGATAGTAGTATTATTTGTTCATAAAGATAATATCTTATTTTGCTCCCATATTTAAAGAAAATAATTAATGTAATATTTATACTATAAAAAGTTTAATGCGGTGCCCAAATTTTAATTTCGAATATCAAATAACTCAATCCATTATACCGAAAACCAAATCTACCAACATAGCTTTTAAATAAATGTGAAACATAGAAACAAAATCACCTAATGAGACTCTATCTCAAATTACACACATGGAGAACAATAAGCTACCACTTAATTGCCACGAGTTATAAATGTTTTTTTTAAATTAAAAGTAAAAAATGAATTAAGTATTTTTTGTGAAAGTAAAAATGAATTAAGTAATTTAATATGAAATTATAACACACATTATTGGTATTAAAATATAAAAACATAATTTATACTATGTAATAGACATCATATTATAAAAAAATTCTAAATTATTAAAGAGAAGAAGAAGAAAGTGTCGCATTTAAAAATTACTTACCACATTTATGCCCTTTCTATGTTTAGGATAGAAGTCTAGTAAACTAATTAGGCTCCACAAGAACCCACTTGGAACAATTTCCAAATGCTGAAGTATTAACCCCCAGGCAAAAGAGAAATCTTATTCATTTGTAAATGATAAAAATAATGACAAATGAGAGAGTAGAATAAGCAAAAGGAATTCGTGTTTTTTTTTTTTTTGGTTTCCATACAAGCACTAATGGTAGTAGATAGGTTGTAGCATTATATGTCTACACCTTTCAAAAAAAAAAAGCATTATGTCTACAAGGATATTTGGGAAAATGTTTAAAATGAAATTTATAGTAAAAAAAAAAAAAGGGAAATTCATTGTGGTACCCAAATTTTAATATCATTTATCACTTTATTATAGTTTATATAATACTTTTAACAAAAATAGTTGCATAATTTCTAATTAATCAAAATGAAAAATATGACCCAAAAAAAATCACATCTAATGAGACCATTTCAACTTGTAAACATGGATAATATATCATGTAACACATATGTACTTATCACATGTCATAAATTTTTTTAAAAAAGAAAACAAATTTTGTAACAAATAAATTTTTCTTTTTTTTCCAAAACAAAATACACAAAAAATATTTAAAAATAAAAGTTCTTCCTTGCCATTAGTGTGCTCTCCTCCTGTACTTCCTTTTTCCTCTTCCTCTCTCTCCCCCAACCTGACCAATCACCAGCCTAATCTGACCAAAACAAGATCGAAAATTTAATTCATGTATAAGAGAAGGAATAAAACTTTATTAGTATTCTAGCTATTTCTTTGTCCCATTTATAATCTTAAGTTACAATTTTATGGCATATTTCATATACTATTCTATTGCTTAAATATGATAATCTTTATGTTATAATTTTTCCTTTGGGTGGGACTGTAAAAGTGACATTAATGCTCACTCTTTTAATACTAACTGCAATAAATATTTAATTCCATGATTGTCGTTCTATGACAACTCAAGTGTTGTGCTACTTTTAGAACTTTTAGTTGGAAAACTAAGAAGTTATAAATAGCAATCTGTTACATTTACCGTTTTTAACTATTTTAAAATTTAAAACTAAAATTATTAAAAAGAAATTAACGGTATTAGTAGATATCCATTTCACCGCAACGAAAGCATATTTATAAATAGTAGTACTATAATTGAATTTGTTAAAATGTTTTACACGTCCTTAGCGGTTCCCGCTCCTAACTAGCCGGTTATCCAAGATGCTATCAAGTCCTAAATTTATACGATGCAGTTGGAGTTTATAACGAATCACTAAAAAAACTAATATAAATATCCAAAAAAATCACATGAATCTACACAAAACACAAGTTAAACCTTTCATTTCAATACCATAGTGGGAAAGTTGTTTCTTTTCATTGTTTTGAGCTATAATCATGGCTAAGCCTGATTGCTCAATCTCTGTTTGTGTTTTCATTTTCTTTCATTTATTACAACTATTCTCACTTGGTGTTGGAGATGTTCTTGAAGTGCCACCATTCAACATTAACCAACAGTCTCTTTTGCAATATCTGTCCCTTGGGGATATCAAAATTGATTCGCCAGCTCTTTACGTATTTGGAGACTCCTACGTTGACGATGGAAACAACAATTTTTTGCCCCATTCTGCTGTAGCAAATTATCCACCATTTGGAGTTGATTTTGATGGAAAACCTACTGGTCGTGCCACCAATGGTAGAACCGTAGTAGATTTCATTGGTATGACAAAAACTTTAACACCATTCACTATTATTTTCAATATATATATATTAGTACTTAGTTTAAAATAATATCATATTATTTCGATGTTTTGGGACATGCACCCTAGCATAAAGAATTCTTCATTCCTTCTGACTTCATATCTGGCATTTCTTTTAATCTGAGCAATGATTTATTGGGTAATAATCCATTTTCTAATAAACCTCTATTATTTATTATATAAATATATATATACTGTAGCAAAAACTCTGGACGTGTAATGTAACATTAACTAAGTCGTTTCTATATTTAATAATGCAGCTACAGTGGGTGGTTTTCAATACCCACCACCAATTTTGGGTATGTCTGAGGCAGACAGGAAAACAACTCGAACTGGCGTGAACTATGGCTCTGGTTCCTCTGGGATTCTTTCTGAAAATGGACGCTTTATGGTAAAGTACCTTGATACCCTAACATAATTTTATAGATGATTTTATTCATCTTGTTAAAATTGCATCTAATTTTATTCTTAACAACATGATTCTATCAATTATAATAACTTTAAAAAAATTTGTGATAAGAAAAAGTACTCGAGTTCAACTAAAATGTTTTTACTTGGTGAAAATTAACCGTATACTTATAATAAGAATCAAATCATCTTATATTCACTTGATGAGTTCACTAACTGTATAGCATTTTGCCCATTTTCCTGCACCATATAGCATTTGAATGTGCTCAACCTCTTCCAACAAGTAGACTTGTTTGAGAACACAACCTTGAAGGATTTGAAGAGTTCATTTAGCAGCACAGAAAGTTTCACTGAATACCTCTCCAAGTCTGTTTTCTTTATCCATACTGCGAGCAATGACTTAGGGCTTACCTATGAAACTACAACACCGAAACCCTCTCCAGATAAATATTCCGAAGTGCTTGTTGAAGAGCTTTTTAAGCAACTGCAGGTAAATATTTAAAGCATTCATCAAATTCTTAAAAGAGTAGAGCTCTTTTGTTTAATTTTTAATTATTCAACTACTCACAAATGGTATGAACACAACAATTTTATCAATTTTTTTTAAAAGTATCTCTAGATAATCAAATTATCGGATACTTTACTATTTTTTATTATTAAAATGTGAATCATAATGTTAAATCACATGTAAAACTTGTGAATTTGTTTTTAATGCAGAGATTATATAAGCTTGGTGCTCGCAAATTTTTGGTGAACAACGTATCTCCATTAGGGTGCCAACCATTTAATATAAATACGAAAAACCACACAACATCATGTGTCGAAGAAGTAAATGAGCATATATCTACATACAACAAGCTCCTTTCCAATTCATTAACAAAGTGGCAATCCACTCTTTCGGGATCTAAGTTCGTTCTTGGAGATCTTTACAAGATTTTTCAAGATGTCTATGCATCCTCTGCATCATACGGTAAGTAAAACTTATTTAGAATGATTGAAAAAGTGAATGAGTTAAGTTACTTTTGAGAGTTATTTTATATTGATTCTTAACAATACATAAGCTTAATTCATTCGTTGTTGAACCAAGTTGAAACAATGATTTGAATCGATTTCGAATTTTGTAACAATACTTGACTCAAGTGACATTTAAGTTTTATTTGAATTTTCAAATTAGATTCTTTAAGTTAATTGAATTGTGCTAAGTCCACTCGATTATTTTTTAAGCCAAATTTGTGTAAAAGAAGATAAAAGCTAGATCAAACTCTCCCATTCTTGAAAACTGAGCACAAATAGCGAAAACTATGTCTTTGATTTTTTTTTTTGTTTTGGATATAGCTGACAAACTCTATTTGTGTAATTTTGTATACAGGATTTAAGGATGTAAACACTTCTTGTTGCTTGGATGCGAACGGGGCTAGGATTCTTCCTTGCGCTCAAAATGTTGCACCATGCGAAGATAGAAAGAGTCGTGTATTCTTTGACCCATTCCACCCCAGCGAAAGCATGCATTTCCTATGGGCCAGGCGTCTGTTGAAGGATTCCTCTGTTTGCTCCCCCATCAATTTGGTTCAGTTGATGCAAGCTTAATTATGTAAACGCTTGGTTACTACGCATGTCATTGGTTTCACGATATCATAACAAAACCACATACAAGCATGGTTTTTACTTGTTTGTAAGCAATAAAAAAATTGCCAAAGAGAGTTGAATAAAAAAAAAAGGAATTGAATTTTTTTATTCTTTCCATAAGAGCACTAACGGCAGTAGACTGGTAGTAGTATTATTTGTTCATTAAGATAATATCTTATTTTGCTCCTATATTTAAAGAAAATAATTAATGTAATATTTATACTATCAAAAGTTTAATATGGTACCCAAACTTTAATTTCGAATATCAAATAATTCAATCCATTATACCCAAAACCGAATCTATCAACATAGCTTTTAAATAAATGTGAAACATAGTAAAAAAAAAATTTTACTAACTGCCATGTGTTATAAAATTTTAAATGAAAAAATAAAAAATGATTTTTTTTAATCTTTTCAATATATATTTCTTTCATTTCTTTTCTTTCCTCTCCCTTGATGCCCCTTCTTAATGGTCGCACCCGACCTATCACCGGCATGTTTCGGTTAGATAATGAAAGTAGTTATTTGTTAAAAATTTATACTAAGTATACTATTTATTGGAAATTTTATATAGTTAATTTATCAAAGATTCTAAATCAAATAAATTTATCAAAAAATAATTTATATATTAATATTTAAATATTAAAAGATAAAGTTTTTTTTTATAATTTAAGATTTTATTAAAAAAATTAAAACTTAAAATACTCCTTTTCAAAAATTCAAATCTTACTTTTGAGACCAGTGGTGATGTTTCTTCTTCTTGATCTTTAGTTATGTTTTTCACTCTTTTAAATTTAAGCTTCAATTGTTCAATTATAAGTAATTTTTAATATAAATTAAATTTTTAAGTATTTTATATCTAAATATATTTTTTTATTAATTTGATCGTTGGGACCCAAACATAATCTTTCTAATATATTTTTAGATATTACACGTAAGTAATTCTTAAAACTTAAAATTTTGAAAATTTATCTTAAAAAATTTTGATTCAAATCTTAAATGTATATAAAAGATTTAAAAGACAATTAACATGTATAAAAAAATTACACTATAATACAATCATATTTGTAACAAGTACTAAATTAACTGCCACACAACAGATAATACATACCTTAAACCAAAAACTATAATTATTTATTTAAAAGGTAACATGTTTTATATTTTTCATCTCAAATTTAAAATGTGTCTTTCACACTTAGGTAAATGTCATAAATAAATTTGCATATTGCCCAAAACTCAAAGTGGCTAAATTTCCATAGCAAATAGTAGGATAATCATTTTGTAGTATTGAAAATTTGGCAACAAATATATAATAATTTTTTTAATATAAAAACAATTGAATAACACTTAAAGCGGATTGTTAAATGTATCAAGTGGACCGTGCCAAGTTGGTCCAGCGCTGCTCACTTAACAGGCCATATTGGGATGGCCCATGACAGCCAAGAATTCCTCTGATCATGGCCATAACAGCATGGGCCACATGCTGGGCCATGACAGCCCAGTTCGTTGACACTAGTGGCTGGGAGTAGCCGAATGCCGAAAGCCAATTTCTAGTCCGTTGTCCCGTGCGGTGTGGAGTCCGGTCGAAATTCTCATGTTTTGAGTTTTTAAATTTCTTGATTGGCGATCGGAGTCTCTGACTTGTGTTTTCCCTTTGCTCCTACACTTCCACTGCTGCTAAATTGTTGATTTCAGGTTTGCATCAAATCCCCAGTTATCCATTTTCATTTTGTTTCCTTGTTTTTTTTTTCTTTTCTTTTTTGGCTTATGATGTTTATGGCTCAGTTAAGTTTTGGGTTGCCTAGATTCGGATTCATATTTGAGAATTTCTCAACTTTCTGCATATTGGGTTGCTCACATGGCAAGGAATTTTTCAAATGTGGAGGATGAAATGCAAAGAATTAACTACTTGTTTGATCAGAATAGAGAGAGACATAGATTTCAGGTCAAAGATTTGGTGTCAAATTAGATTTATTTATTTAGGTTTGAAATTAAAGAACAGAGCTAGAAATGGTGAGGGCAGCAACTCTTCTTTTATTCTTCTTCCCGGGAACTCTCCACATAGACCTTTTTGTTGAATCAATTGCTGTTTGTGTGTACTTTGGCACACTAGTCTGCATGTATTACACTTTCTTATGAGCCCTATGACTCTATATTTTTCTTCTTTTGATGTTAGAATTCTATCAACCAGAGTTCATCTTGCCATATCTTTAGGATGGCAACTACAGCTTGTTTTATCATTGTAAGCAGGAATGACATCCCAATATATGAAGCTGAAGTTGGGTCTGCTGCGAAAGTATGATATTTGTTCACATCTTTCTCCATATTTTTTCCTAATAATGAAATTTTATGTTTACATATCTGGAGATCGCAAAGTATGATGCAGGATTTTGTATCTGTTTGGGCATGGTTATATCTCTCTTCACTTTGCAAGATGTGCCCGGTGGCCTGGAGTTGTTGTGTTGTACTTGTTTGTGCATTTGTACCTTTCTTTTTTTGGGTTCTAGTTCATAGTTTTGAACTTTTGATTATCTAGGAGTAACACTTTTGCAATGATTCTGACATTATGGTCAGTAGGGAGGAAAACAGAGAGAAAGCTAAAAGGTGAGGAAAGAAAAAAATTGGAGAGGAAGAAACGTTTTTTCCTTTCTTTTGTATGGTATGAATGATGGAAATTAGAGGGAAACAAAGAGGGTAGGAGTAAAGTTGTAAATGGAATGAGTAACTTAATTTGAACAAGTGTTTTCAATTCCTCCCATTTTGAAAGGATTAGACTTGGAGGGAAGGGAAATGTGCAAATCCACCCTTTTCCTTCCTGCTTCCTATTTCCCTCATACCAAACAAAGGAAACACTATTTTCCCTTCATCCCCTTTCTCTTCTATCAAACATAGTGAAAGGAAGACATGCTCATATCTGCTAAAGAAAGAATGTTCAAAATTGAACATCAGATTTGCTTAATATTCCGCTGCATGTATGCTTTGAAATGTATAATGCATCAGATGTTCATAATTAATTATTTGGGTTTATTTGGAAAGTATTTCTTTACAGCTTGTTATACTTGTATTTCCTTTGTTTTTCTTCCCCTGCCCTTCTTTTTTTATATATATATGGAGGGGGTGTGATTGGATGTCATAAGATTTAAGTGTTTTTACCTTATGCAACACTCTCTCTGCTTGTATGCTTTTTGGCTTGGTGTCAGAAGCTGTTGTTTCTTGTTGCTCTCTGTCTGACTGCATTGTTTAATACAGAGAGAAGATGCTGCTCAGCTGCATCAGTTCATATTACATGCCGCTCTGGATATTGTTCAAGACCTTGCATGGACCACTAGTGCGATGTGAGTTATATTTTTCTTGATACATCCATTTTAGCATATTCTGGAGAAATTTCCATGTTTTTGTTCTCTCTGTTTCATTGCCAAATATCTTGCTACCTTTTATTTACATTTCTGTTGCAGGTTCTTGAAAGCCATTGACAGGTTCAATGATTTGGTGGTATCAGTTTATGTAACTGCTGGTCATATCCTTTATACGTACTGAACTGACTTATAAATTTCATAACATCAATATATAACTAATATGTTGAACAAACGTCCTATATCCAATAATTTGACAACTATGTAGAACCAAAACTCAGGGAAACAAAGTCTGCCATTTAAATGAAAGTCCTCATGTTAACTATGGGTAAATTGTAGGTTGTTGGTATTAAAATGCAGTATTTAACTAGACCCTTGAAAGTACTTCTCTAGTTGGGTATCTAGACCATCTTAATGTTTGGCTGGTGTTGATGCTATTAACAGTCATGGCATGATATTTTTTGCTACTCCTTTGGGGATGTTTTGTTAGCCATTGAGGGCATGCTGTCAGAGCCATGTAAACATTGATATCTTACTATTATAACATGAATCATTCACGTAGAATGTCCTCCATCATATGGTTGGATGGGTTCCTTATCTAGTGTACTGGTTTCTTTATGCTGTTGTTAGACTAGACATGTTGCAGCTATACATTGGCTTCACATTTCTATTATCATTGTACTACCTAAGTTAGTAAATGAAAAAAGCAGTAAAGTACTCGTCTTCTTCTGTCTTCTTCATTACCTTGTCCATTGTTGTTGTCAGCTGCATGTTTTAGTATTTAGGAAGGTTGAGACTGTAGCATATCCCTGACATTTATATTTTGGTTATCAGTGTTACTAGTTCCAGTTTAATACTTTCCTTGACTTTATCTTACATACACGATTTATGCTACTTCATGATTCTCGTAATGATGATGGAATCAAGAGCTTTTTCCAAGAGGTTCATGAGCTTTACGTAAAGGTAACTACTGCTTCCGACTTCTCCTGTTAACTCTTTTTCTCGGACAATTAATCTTTGATAACACTTTATTCAGGCAGATGAATTCCACTAGGTTTGTCTGTTAATTTTTTTTTCTTTTTTCTAAGTGATGCTTGTTTTCCTCTGTGATGCTTTAGTTGTTGGGATGTGTTAGTCTGTCAGATAAATAATCTAGGTTTGCTAGTTATTCTCTATGAACATTCTCTAATAACATGATAAGCAGATTGACTGTGAGATTTGGAAGCTGCTTTAGGTTAGTTTGGAAAAATTAAATTAATCAAAGTTATATGTCATTTTGTATGTCCTAGTTTGTGTTGCATTTAGAGGCTTCACAACTGATAAAGTAGACCATTTATGCAAACCAAGAGCATGTAGAGGCTGTAGATCTCTGGTGAGCATGGAGGGCAACTGAGCGCCTTTTGTCATTGTGGAAGGGAGGGGGAGGGAGATAGTTGGTTCTAGGGCTGAGTAGTTTAAAAGAAAATAAAGGGGATGGTGTTGGGCACTGAAAATGAATGGAGAAAAAAAGAATTACAATGGTAATTGTGGTTGGTTCTAGGACTGGTTTAATTTGATAATAAGTTAGGGCCTTTTTATAGAAAAAGAAAAAGAACTTTTCATTTATATAAGTTTGGGCTTATCAAAATGTGACAGTTGGTACAGAATTTTGTAGTCTGCTTGTTGTTGGGCTCTCTTATGCTGTAGTGCTCCAACTCTTTGTTTTTCTTAAGGTAAACATGTCGAACAAGTATTAAACATTTCAAAGTAGACATGTTTTGAGAACATGACCCACTTAATATAAGTATGCGAAAAATTGAAGCTGCTCTTATAGGACACATACTGAACCTGATTTTATGCAACAAAGATCTTGTGGCCTTTTAAAACATGAACCTACCTCAAACACAAGAATTTGGTTTTCATGGACAACTAAGTCCTTAGAAAGCAGTGGTCAATGAAGGCTCGTAGTCAATATCCCCATATCATGCTATGAAACTACTCTTTTCTAACTCTTGTTACTGTTCTTGAGGACTTGTTGCTATGAAAGTATGAGTCTATATGTTGGTCCAAATCACTACAACTTCTGCTGAGTTATTGTTTTTGTACAGTCTTGATCGATAGCTCAAAAAGCTTTCTTTTGCATTATATCTATTCATTTTAATGCATTTCTTCTATTAGAAGTATCATAATCAGAGGAAAAGTTCTTCAACCTGGATATATCATTATTTGGTCTTAGGGACTTTTCATTAGTAATTTTTGATAAACCATCTTCATTTGTTTCCTTTTATGTAATGACATTGATCTATTGACTGATTTTTCATTGCCTGAAATCTTTGGCAATTGGCAGATTCTTCTTAATCCACTCTACTTGCCTGGTTCCCGCATAACATCATCACATTTTGATACAAAAGTTCGTGCCCTTGCAAGGAAATATCTATAGGCGGTCATCTGTTCTTTCGAAGAACTTGGGATGTTACGCAATTGAGCTTTGCATGAGTATACACACACTTTAACCTCTCTCTCATCGAAAATTTGATCACGTATGGCGAAAAGTAAAGCTTTTTCCGATTGCAATTTGTGTTTACACAATTACTGACTGTTATTTGCTCTTAAGATTTCTTCGTTCATGCATTCGTTGCAAATAGTAAATGACAATATGTTTCGAAAGTGTTTTGTGTGAAATGATAACAAATGATGGAACAGCAGATAGCATTTAGCAATTCAGAGTCATTGATCTGTTTCCCCAGGGTTTGATCACCTTCGACGATCAAATCTTACCTCTACTCTGATGAGGGAGAAACCTTTTCTAAAGTTTCGATGTATTGTCATAATCAGATACAGCTCACATCATTTAGATAACTTCTTTTCCTGACATTTCTTATGTAACTTTAGAATATTCTAGACATTCCATATGATCATTGGTGCCAGTTCTTGTCCCATTACTTTCTCAACTTTCAATAATACTCTTCAACTCAATGGCAAGTGCATTTTTACTGGCCTTCTCAGTGAAAAATCAAACTAACAAAATCCTGGAAACCAAAAATCCGTGAAACAAACGACCATGGAGGTAAATGACTGAACCATAAGCAACAAGCAAATGGTGCTTATACATAATGTGATAGAACTATAACAATGATAATCAATGCAATACTGTTCTGATAAATTCATTAAGTTTAATTGTCCGTGAGTGGCATTTTCAATCAATCAAATGCATTTTATGTCTGATGTTGTTATTATTAACTCGTGAATTCATTAAATAGACTTACAGCTAATATGATAGAAATAGTGTATGTAATGATTTGTTTTGCATTGGGTTATCAGCATCATTGGTGAGTAAGAAGCAAAAACATTTATGACTTGACTTGGTGGCTCTTTCACGTAAAGTCCATAATTTTCAATTTAAAAAAAGTATTCATGTTAAGTTTAAGGAGAGAAAAGTTTTTATTTATAAATTTAAGATTTTATACTTTATTAATGAGATTTGTGATATTTTTTTTTCATTGCACACACTAACTCTTTTACTTGTGAAAAATAAAATTTTATCTACTTCAATTGTTCACAAAAAATTGTAAAAAAGAAAAATTCATCTTACTTTCATATTTACCTCAATTTCGATATCTCTTGTGAAATATCGTGTTTATCTTAACTTCGATATCTATCGTGAAATGTCACGTTAACGAGGAATTTAGTATGATCATGCCACTTGACACCAAATTTTGGACTTTTTTAAGAATTTTCCATAGTCTTCTTTTTCCCTAATAAACAGTGTGAAACTAGGAGGACGTGGAAAGTGATTGGAAAAAAGACAAGGCCGATAGTTGACGGAGGGTAACATGGCAACAGCCAAAAACAGTAACTTTGAACACCCAAACCAAAAGGTATCCAAAGAAGATGAACTAGTATTTTATTATTACTAAATTAAGTATATTTTCATTACGGATGAAGAAAACGCAGCGTTTTAACGAAGGGGGAGGTTACCTAAATGAGCAAAAAGGGAGTAAGTCGGGTAAAGAGGGGAAACCGAAGAGAAAAAGAGAAGAGTAAAGTTAGCTTTGCTGTTTGGTGTCAAGCTTTATCTTCAGGCAGCAGCAGCAGCAGCAGCACAGCAGCCAGCAGCGCACCCCCCCATTTGCCATCACACTCTCTCTCACTCACTCGCATACAAAGAAACTCCCCTCCCCTACCCCAAAATATAACTAAATTAAAGAAGGAAATGCTAACGAACAAAAGCTCCCCCATTTTTTGTTAAGTACTATAATTATTAGGGTTTCCCACAAAATATAAAATAATTTATATAATATTCGGTCCATTTTTACCCACCGATCCGACCCTCCTTATGATTTGATTTTTTTCCCCCTCGATTGTCACCGGAAATGTTATATGTGTTCCACATCTTCAGGTAACTTTTTTTTTCTTTTTTTTTGGGTGTGTTTGGGTGTTTGGTAGCTGAGAAAATGCTGGAAAATGGAAGGAAATTTGGGGTTTTGAGCTAACTCTTCTTTGTTTGTTAAGAGAAGAGTAAACTAGAAGTTTGAGCTTAGAATTTTTTTTGCCTTCCTTTTTTGGAAGCTTAATCTGGTGGGTTTGGTTAGATTTTTTTATTTTTTTGAGATATGTGTAATTTCTTTGTGCGGCTGAGAAGGATTTGAGAAATTTGAGAGTTTGATTCTTGATTTAGTGCTTCTTTTTTAGGGAAATTTGCTGCCTTTTTTTGTTTGATTTGATTATCTGGTTTAGTTTTGTTGTTTTATGCTTAAGATATTGCTTACTATTTTGTTTGCTAATCTAAGAAATCATCAGGAGAAAAGGGAAAATTGATTTTTTTCCCTTAGATGTAACTTTCCTTAATAAAATGCTGTAAAAAAAAGGGAGAGAAAGAAAATTGAACTTTAGATGATCACTACTTTGGTTGAAATATTGTTTCCATTTTCTTTAGATTCTTAAACTCTTTATTTTAGCTGATGCTATGCAAGGAAAGGAATATTGTTTCTGGTGTTGGTAAAGTTAGTTTACTTAGTTGATTGATTGAGTTGGGCCGTAGTTTCTGTTAAAACATGTCTAATCTGTTGTTTGTCATCAGAAAAGTAAAGAAGTAAAGAACTTCACATAATTTTCTAGTTTTGTGAGGTTATTTGAGGTGGTTCTTTATTTTCTATGGGAATTAAAAAAAAAATGACAATTGCATGGAAAGTAAGGTTTCCAAAATTGTATTTTTCTATCTGGAGTTGAGAAAGATCCTTAAGAGCTTGTCTGACCGTACTTCTTTTTGCAATGAAGATGAGTAAAAACGTCATTTCTGATTTTTTTTTTTTATGTAAAATGCTTTGAAGAACTTAAAACGGTCTTTGAGTTTGATAGTAAGTCACAGAGAAAAATTTATGTGGTAAAGGGGCTTAGTATAAGTGTTGTACTTGAAACTCCCTTGTTCTAATGACAGAGTTTAGAGGGAAGAATTCTTACATGGGTTAGATTGTAGTTTAGTCTTGAAGCTTGCTAAACCGTTTTTTTTTTTTTTTGCATGGTGCAGAAAGAATTGAAGTAAGGTGGTAGAATGATAGTTATTAAGCCAGTATGCTTATACCTAGGTAGCCTAAGGAAGGATGAGAGGTATTAGCTGTTTTTACTCACAATTGCTCCTTTGTAAATGCTTCCAGACAATTTCTAAAGCAGAAATGTCTATGACTGTACGATATGATAAAAAATTTAGACCTGAAACCGGTATCTAGTTTGAGAGTACTGTGACATGCAGTAGCATTTTTTGAAAAAGAAGCTATTGGTATTTAAAAATTTTCATTATTGTTTTAGTATGCTTCATTTTATTGCTATTCTCTTTGAACAGGTTGAAGCTTGTTGTGCTAATTTATGTATACATGGATAAATAGTTACATTTAACTTTACATTATTACTTTCTGGGCATGAAATTTTCTTTTTCACACTTGCACTAACACTTGAAGATGATACAGGTTTTACTGCATTGCTGAAAACATTGTTAGGGTGTATAATCAACTACAATAGGTTTTTCTATTGCATGATTCAATGGTGCCAGAAGGCTAGAAGAGCTATGGACTGTTTTCAGACTGTTAGCCGTCTTAAAGGCAAGTTGTTTGAATCTACTAATTGGATCTACTTATCTATAGCTTTAGACAGTGCGTTCTGCAGTTAAAAAAGTGGAGGGGATGCAAAAACTTGCTGGTATAAAGGTGTTGGGTTGGCTTTTTGTCAATTTTAGGAGTGACCTTTTCTTTATGAGAAACTGGTTTTAATTTGGTGCAGACATTGTATTATGATTGAGAGTTAATATCTCAACAAATAATTTGGAATTCAGTCTATAGTCTATTTTTGTTTAACTTTTAGCTGAGCTTAATTTATTGGGCAAGTTCTCCCTAGTTGTGAAGTTGCTCCATACGTTTCTAAACTTGCTTGCTGTGGTATTCATATTTTTTAGTTTGAAGATAACACTCATATGAAATTCTTAGAGGAGTCATAATGAAGAACTAAGTGATGAAGGAACTTTTAACCCATAAATAGATGTTACATTTATCAAGCTTTAACATTTATATATCAGTAATTTTTCAATTAATGGCCTGACCCTCATTATCTTTGGTTAGAGGTTCTGGTTTGGCCTGTATACCTTATTTCTTTGTGTTTGCCTTTCGAGCAGAGAATTTACATGGTGCTTTAGCTTTGAACTTAATGAACTTTATTCTAGACCTTATGCAGCATAAAAATGACAAGACAATTTAGTGCTTCTTCTCCATTTATTTATCTTTTGAATGTTATGACAGAAATTTGACTTTACTTCTGGTTGCAGGTTCCCTGTGCCAACAGTTATTACTATTCATTCTCTGGTTATCCAGCTTCCAAGATGTAGTCACATTGCAGACACTGCTTGACCCTAGTCATGTTTCTTCCACATCTGAGCTAGCTAATCCACCGACTACTGGATTATTTGAACCTATAGAAATATCCCCTGCTGTTATTCCACGTTACCCTTATCCGGGTGAATCATTACCACCTATGTACCCAACTTTTCCCACAACATATGAACCAAATTTAACTGGAAGGTGCCCTGTAAATTTTTCTGCTTTGTCGAATATCATGGGAAAAACAGCATCTGATTGTTCTCTACCTTTGGCAGCACTTGTAGGAAATGTGATATGTTGTCCACAGCTTGGTAGTTTACTCCACATCTTCCAGGGTTACTACAGTATCAACTCTGATAAGTTGGTCTTGCGAAATGCTGTTGCTAATGATTGTTTTTCAGATATCATTAGTATCCTAGCTAGCAGAGGGGCCAATGGTACAATACCTACAGTTTGTTCTGTAAAATCATCAAATCTGACAGGTGGGTCTTGTCCAGTGAAGGATGTTAATACCTTTGAGAAAATGGTGAATACAAGCAAGTTATTGGAGGCTTGCAGCACTGTTGATCCTCTAAAAGAGTGCTGCAGGCCAGTTTGCCAACCTGCAATTATGGAAGCTGCTCTAAGGATTAGTGGAACACAAATGATGCTAAATGAGAATAAAAATGTACTTGGGGAGACTAATCATATAGATGCCATCAATGATTGTAAAGGGGTGGTATATTCGTATCTTTCAAGGAAACTCCCTCCAGATGCTGCAAACACTGCATTCCGTATACTATCTGCCTGCAAAGTCAACAAGGGTACAGTTTCTATGTATCTTACATGATTGTTGTTCAATATTTACTTTACCCACAGTTCTGGTTGTTCTTACTTATGAACTTGCTTGGGTATCTATTTTACCTTGGGAAGTTTCTAGTTGAAGATGATCTCATATTGCATGGAACTGTCATCTGTTGAAAAAATTGAAAGTGGAGGCAATTCGTAGTCCGTATGGATAGCAGATTAATGTTTAAGTTCCCTTTACCTTTTACATAATCTATCAGTTTCCAAAATTAGCATAACTAAATTCTAAATAAGGAAATTGAGCTTTTCAAACTTATCTAATAAGATAAGGTCAAGTAATGCTTGATCTTTAAATGTCCTTCACTTTGAGTTTTATTAGTTCTATCTTTTCCTTTTTAATTCCCTCTCTCGGTTTTCAAAGTTATCTGCCAGTTGTATGACAAGATATTGTAGCATTTGTTTTGAATCATTTGTGAGTTTTTTGATATTTTGTCTACAATGGGGTAAAAATTTTTGCATGTGCAGTTTGCCCTTTGGAATTTAACCAGCCCTCGGAAGTAATTAAGGCATGCCGTAACATAGCTGCTCCCAGTCCTTCCTGCTGTAGCTCATTAAATACTTACATTGCGGGGATACAGAAGCAAATGTTAATTACAAACAAGCAAGCCATAATTTGTGCAACAATGTTTGGGTCAATGTTAAGAAAAGGTGGAGTTATAACAAATGTTTATGAGCTTTGTGACGTTGACTTAAAAGATTTTAGTATCCAAGGTATACTATTCTGTTTGATGTAGTTCTTCTAATTCTTTGCCCATTATACTCTGCTGTTTAATCTGATACTAAGGTTTTCTTCTTGTCTTTTTGTCTCTTGTATTCTCATGTGCGGTTGCCCCAGCAGCATATGGACAACAAGGTTTGTATTGTTTCCTGATCTTGTTCTTTCCCCCGCATTTGCATATGCATTAGTTAACAATAGAAATGGGGTGTGTGTGTGTGCACGCGCGCAAGTCGTCAGTGGCCATCTTTCTATATGCTAGAAAAATTTTAGTCTAGCATCCTTCTCATACTTTCTTCCTGGTTTGATGTATGCATCAAATTAGATAGATGAGTATGCACTAAAGTTTAAGATATGCACCATATAGATTGAAAATTTTGGTGTTTTCTACAAATCTAGGGTGCCTGCTACGAAGCTTGCCAGCAGATGTGGTATTTGACAACTCAACGGGCTTTAGCTTTACATGTGACTTGACTGACAACATTGCAGCGCCGTGGCCTTCATCATCTTCAATGTCATCCTTGTCTCTTTGTGCTCCAGGTAATTGTTTGAGAAAGAATGACTCTTTTAATTTTGCATTTATTTAGGAGGGATCAACACAGTTAAAGTGGGGATTCAATAAGGAGCATATTTGCCTTGTGGCTTCATCTTAATGTCCTAATGGCTGCTGCCTGCTGTTGCAGAGATGTCATTGCCTGCCCTACCAACATCAGAGACACTGAAAAATCCTGGTGTGTAACATTTATTATTTGTATTGCCTTCCTATTTTGGTTAACTACAATGAAGCATTTAGGAAACGAGAGGCTGTTCAAAAAAGTATCTGTAGTACATGATAGAAGATAAAGTATCTGTAGTAAATGACACCATAGATTGTAGAAATTCTAGTCATGCCTTGCCAAGAGTTAATAACCATAAAATAAAATGATAGAAGATGAAGCTAGCATTCTTTGCTGAAATTTTGAAAAATAAAACAATACATTACCACAAGAACTAACTGTTGGGTATTCTATTTGACATCACTGGGCTGTTGGTGTTGGACATGGTAGAAGGAACTTTTAGGACTTACAATCAAGAATTAGGATGTCACAATTTAGACATATATCGCCCTTTCACACTGTTATGTGGCTAACGTGGGTTAATTTAAGTAATTTGCAATATTCAAGCTGTAGCTTGTTCTCATTTTATTGTTTTAATTTCTTGATGCAGGCTGCCATGGATGCATGTTGGAAATCTGGGTACCCATTTTTTCATTTTTTGTTTTCAGTACATTTTTGTACTGAAGAGAGTTTTAGTTGCGGGTTGAGCCGGTTTGGAAGTGTAGGGGCTTTTGGTGATTGACTGTTGTGTGGGAAATTTACAATGTATATTTTGAGTAAGCCTTGTTGGTGTATAGTATCTATTTTCTTTCCTTTTTCCTTCTAGAATCAGACTTTTCTATCTCCCTCCCACTGCCATCTCTCTCTCTCTCTCTCTCAAATGTCCTGGAATTCTAGGGAGAAAGAAAGTTGCTTTTCTGATTTCTAACTTGTGGTGGAAAAAAGTTGCGCCTACCACAAGGAAAACAAAATGGTTTCAAAAGCCTTAAAGCATTGCAGGAAAATATGTAGTTTCTTAAGCTTAAGATCAAGAGAGGAATGCTGAAACTTTTGACTTTTGAGAAGGCCGGTGAAGGTTAAGTCTTAATGGAGATAAGCAATTATAATATTATTTAGAATATATTAATAGCAGAAAATTTTGCATTTTCTTATTTAAATTAATTACGACCATGTTAATCACCCTTTAAAGACATTAATTAATATTTTATTACCATTTTGTTGGATATTTAATTACAGTCTAACTATTATGTGAGAATACATATTATTAGCTGGTTGCATTTTGCTTTATATCTTACTATTGTATTTGGTGGCCAAATCCAAGCTCATCAAATATGCATGAGCCATCCACCATTTTATTATTTCACAAGTACTATAGTTTTCATAATACAAAACAATTTGCTACTAATAAAACCAATAGTAAATCTTGATTTATTTTGTGGTATTATATTTTCTAAATAAATTCCAAATTCTGTGAAAATTATTAATTAGATTTAAATCTTTATATTTTCAAAACATATCAATATAATTTTCCCTTAAAAACTCAATAAAATTTTCAGTTACTTATCTTCGATTTTACTAATTCTAGTATTGTAATTTCACTAATATTATAAAAACAAAAATTTCAAAATATCTTGGAAGAATAATATTTTTTTTCGTGCAAATAATATTTAAAATTTTAATATAAAGGATAAGTAATTTATTTTCTTATAATCTTTTTTTTTTTTTAATTTTCGCGGCAATCGGGCTTGGTTGAATATTTTATTTTGAATATTCCTTAAATGTGAACCTGACCCATAAAATCGACTCCAAGCTACTTAAGCCGAGCCGAAGCCAAATATCAGAGCTCTCCTGTATGCCTTCTTAAAGCCCATTTCAGCTAAACCCTAATTCTTTCTCTCTCTCTCTGGGATTTTCTTATTCTCAATAACAGTAAGAATGGCAAAATTTCATCGAACAGATTGCATCGAGATTTTGTCGCAAATTAAGCATCAAGAGAAGCTGGTTAATCTCAAAAGAAGGTTCCGCCTTTCTTTTTCTTTTTAATTTCTCGCCAATTATGTTTATTATGTTTGATTTCTTTTAAAAAAGCATGCCTTTCCCATAACTGTTCACAATCCTGAAATTTAGCTAGTTCTTTTTTAATATATAATCTACTCCATGGTGTTTTTGGTTTTTAATTTTTGCTGAAACAAGTTAAAGATGGTCTTTTTTTTTCGGTGCATGTTGTTGTTGTTGTTGTTTTGCGGTCTTGAATGTTGATTTGAGTGAGATTGTGGGAACTGAGGAATGTATTTGTTGTTGTTGTTAAAACGCGTGGTGCATTATTATGGTGATTTATGTTTGTATCGGGACTCGGGTAGGATTACTTATCGAGGTTCTGTGCAGGTGGTTGATGGGACTTTCGACTTCCAGGTCCAAAAGGAAGCCATGTAAGGAACCCAAGTTTTTTAAGTACAAGTAAGTGGGTGAGCTTTCTACTCCAACAACAAAATATTTGTATGCATTGTTGTTCTTGCTGTTGTTTTCTTTGTTGTAAAGGTTAATTTTAATGCTTTTGGGGTTGATTCTGTCTTCCAGGACTTTGCCTGAATCTCTTCTGAGGGATGATGATGTAAGTTGATGCAGCATTGTGCTGTGCTGGTGGATATCATGTTCTTGTACTTTCAATAATTTGGTCCTGTAGATATTTATGTTTTTTTCATAAAATTGTTCTTACTTCTATGTTTTCCAGATATTCTGTGAGACTATTAAAACTCATGTTGAGGAAGCTTTTGGAGCACGTAATTTCGGGAGAGGAAGTCATGTTATTCAACATAGTGTCCAATTGTTTGATGCACCCAAGATAATGGGATTCCTTCTCTCGTGCCTCAATGCTTTGACTAATAATGGGCTTTACCTTATTGCTATGATACTTACAGGAGGCTCAGGAAGTTTTGAGAAAACTCGGTGCAAAATGAAGCAAGTTATCAGAGAATCTTTGCCGAGATGTTTGAGCAGTGAAAATCATGATCATAAGAAAAAGGATACAATTATGAAGCTATATAGAGTTCTCAATGATTGTCAAAATTTTCGGGACAATTCTATGAAATCAATGACTGCAACATTTCAAATTCATCATGATGCTGCGATCCATGTGCTGGATGGGTTAGAGGATTTCCCTTTACAAACCTTGATTGCAATGGACAGGAAGCTTAGATGTCTCAAAAGATTGCCCCAGTTACAGGCTTGTGAATGGGGAAAAAAACGCAAACGCTTAATTGAGAAAGTGAGTAAAACAGGCAAAAGGATGCTTAGGGATCTTGAAAAAGGAGGTGAACTACGAGAGCCATTAGCTAAAGCATTGGCAGTAGCAGACTTATCAATAAAACTAACTAGGGGCTGTCTAAATACCTCAACAACATGCTTTCACCGATTCTCACCAGAAATAATAACCTTGCAGAATGATATTATCAAGGCTATTTGGATTCTCAAAACAAAGGTTAGATTCCCTGAGCTGAAAACCTTAAAGCTTTTGTTGGATCCGAAGGTTGATATATCAAATCGTTCTTTACGAGGAGCAATTACAAATATGTTAACAGAGTTTCTCTTCGAGTGCAGTGATATGGATACAATTCCCAAGTCTTTATTAGAAACTCTTGCTGTTATTAATAAGGATTCTCGATCTATGCCACATGGACGCTTCCTAAAGGAGGAAATTGAAGAAGAGATAGAATGTATACTAAGTGTGAGTGCTCAGTTGAAACAAATTGTTTGGGACTTGCTTCCTGATCATGAGTTAGATGAGGAATTTGCTGATGCGTATGGAGAAGAATTAGAAGATAGTGTTGATGGTAGTTGTGTAGAGGATGATGGGCAAATGGAAAATGAAGACTCTGAGAGTTGTATGTCATGTTCTGTCAATTCAATTGAGAGAGATGAGGTTAAACTGAATGTGAAAGTGGATCCAGAAATCATATCAAATTATGAGACAGGTAGCGAAGATATAAACGAAGTAAAGAGTGTGGGCAAATTGCATGCATTTATTGATGGAAATTGTTTTTCACCATTCGGTCTACCAAGTGGAGAGTTAAATGACTATTCATTTGAGAGAGATGAAGTTAAACTGAACAGTGGAGTGGGTCCAGAAAATGCATCAATTTTCTCTTCCAACCGCCAGTTGAGGAATGCAATGTTTGTGCACAACAAATCAAGAATGTATAGAAATCAATACCTTAACATCCAAGAAGCAAGTGATGAGACAAGTTTGGTTGCCTACAATCTAATTGGTCTGTTACTGGAAAAGTTCACTAAGGAGCAGGACATGGATTTAGATTGGAGCGATAGCTTGTATCTTAGAGGTGACTCTTCAGTTCAAGAACATACCCAAGGTATCAAACTACTTTTATTCTTCCATCCCCTTCTCCCCTCTCAAATGAGCTTTATAAACCATGCACTTAACCTATTGGACCAAAATTATCTGAAAACCGTTGTCACAATCATATTGAGCAGTTAATGAAACTACATTGACATCCATGTTTTAATACACATTGATATGAAAGATACTGAAATAGGAATAATTTTGAGGCTAATATGTAGGAAAATTTTAGTGCAAAAGGGTGGGAAATTATTTGCACAACCAGGTCCCCAATCAGTTAGGGTATGAGATGATGAGTGGATGAGGAAAATTAAAGTTCTATGGACTGTTTAACTGCTGCTCAGACAATAGTGAAGTGAATAGTAACTCTGTTCAGGGAGGGATGTGAATGGCCATTTGCAGGTTTGAATATGCCCTAATAGCTTTAGGGAACAAAAACAAACTTGCAGTTCAAGATAGAAATCTATCAAATTTGACTTCAATTAAGTCATAAAATATTCAAAAAAGGCTTATTAAAGAAAAGACTAAAAATTCTTGCACCACCCAATGCATAAATTCTGTTGAGAAAACTTGAATAAAGCTCAAACAAATGTAAACTTGGACCTGATAATCACTATTTTGGCATATTTGAGGCCCTTGAGGCCCAACATCATTACTGAATGTGTGCTTGCATTGCTTTACTATGGTGTAAATGATTGTTGAGCAAGCCTTTCTCTCTCCGATCCCCCCACACCCATCCCTTGAGATGCTAATAGAATTGAGGGTTTCAATGTCTGATTCTTTTCTGTGCACACTCTTTACCTTATGCAATTCATGGTTAATAATTAGTTCATTTTTATGTATTCTTGCAGGAAAGAAGCAGAAATGGCCTGAGGAAGATGTGGGAGGTTCTTTCATTCAAATACTCAAGGAGCTAATGCCTTCCGTTCCAAAGAGGTATTTTCTTATCCAGCTCGAAAGCAGTGGATTATATCTTGCTTTCTTGTGGTATTTGAATTCTTATATTATTGGACTCTTGGAATTTAAAATGTGTTAACTGTTAGCCTATATTGTATCAACTAAATCATAGATTTTGAGAAGTAAACTTTCCTTTGTTGCTGCAGTGACAGAGAAAAATTGGAGTGAATGGGCACAAATTAGGCACCGTTCGATTTTGCAGGATGATTTTAAGGGCACAGATTTTGTTATGCTTCTGTGCTTATTGATTAAATCTGACCTATTCAAATTTCTCTTCAATCTTCAATTATTGGAGATGTGGCTTTGACCTCCAAGGAGAGCAGAATAAAAAAAGATTACATGGCCTCACTGGTTCTCATTGTACAATAAATTGATTGCTGGCTTGATCTTGTTGCTTCAGATCCAGGTAACCATCCGAACCCCGCACATAATTGATTGAAAACTGGTAAAGTGGAGAGCCATATTGTATCTCATCCGTTTCAGGAAAGTTTCATTTTTTATTCTTTGATTTGGGGAAGGGGTATTCAAGCCTTTTTCCTTGAGCATGAATTAAATGTTCCCATGCGAAATATCCATTCTTTGGTACTTATACTATCAGTAATAATAGCAATTCATTTAGTTTGTCTACAGCTTGAAAAAGTTGGCATATTCACATTTGCACAGATTTTTATGTGAACTTCAATTTTAATGTTTATAGTTACATTGCAAATAACACACTCCAACGACCCTTCAAGTACAGTTAATCGAAAGAAACAAAAACCTTGAAGCTTTTCACTCAAAACAACAGCTCAGTGAACTATAGACCTATACAAATCTTGCTAGCACTCCATACAATAAACCAGAGCCATCAAAAAGCTGCAAGAAGAAGTGGAACTGTATGAAACAGTGACATTTTGCAGAGAATAAGGGAGGTGCCACTAGGCTAAAACAGGTTCCCATGAAATGGCAACCGAGCTGCAATTTCAATGCAGAGAAAGTGACGCATAATGCACGATTAAAATGCAAAGCTTCTGATAAAACATTCTATCAGATGTTTTGCATCCCCTGGAGCATCTATTACATGGAGTTATGACATGGCAAAGAGTTGTGCATTAATCATTATGCAAACATAATTATGTCTTGTGGTGCCGACATATGTCCTCAAAAGGGTTTTATAGCTGGTAAGACAAGCCTTTGTGTGTAGCATTGAAACAGGCTGATAAAGATGCCCATCACACCTGAGGCCCTTCTTCACTTGATTGCTAGAAAAGGATTCATAACACAAGCAAGGTTCTAATTTAGATTCTTTTCTGCAAGAAAAAATCTGCTACATGATGTTAAAGAGAAAACTTATCAATGCTATATTTCAATAAAAGTAAAATTTACTTGATGAACATTTGGAAGGCATGTGTGTTCTGGTCAATGAGAATTGATATCCGCCCAAAAACGTTCACCATGTCTTGCACCTGCATAAGAGGGGGAAAGGAAAAACCAGTTCCATGTGAAATGGCAAGATGAAAATAAAACTTGCACTTGTAATGAACTAAAATAGTATCATGGTGATGGTACACAGTGTAATTATCTTCAATCTGTTCTTTCAAAAAACATTTTCTCAATTCATTAGGGTCAACTTTCACACAAGTGCAACTTGCAATGAACTAAAAATAGTGGCATGGTATACAGTGGAATCATCTTAAGTCTTTTCTTTCAATAATCATTTTTTTCAATTCTTTAGGGTCAATTTTCATATTGCACTTCAAATCACATTCAAACAGAAGAAAAAGAAAAAACAGTGCATGCCAGAAACAGTGTCACTGTGCAAACCATGCAATGGTGGACTACAAATAACCCTAACCTTAATTCAGGTCACACACATAATTTCCTCTAGCCGATACTTTCCCTTTTTGTCCACATGCCCATATCCCTTAACCAACACTTAATCCTCCCTCCATGAACAAAGAAAATCCATAAGTTCACCACCCCAGCGGTGGTTCGTTCTTTATAATTGTCCATTAAAATCGAATAACAATTTTCTAATGGATTTACACTATACCTTTTATGGCATTGCAAACTAATTACAACTCAAGGACAAAATCCAAGCCAATATAGTTAAAAAGTGTTTGTTGTTGTGTTGCTCCCTTAAACCCCAAGCAATGAGAAAGAGGACTTAAATATGGTGGCAAAGAGTGCACAATAAATTTATGAATACTCCAAATAAATAGTAAAGTATGAATATAGTAGATGAACAAAAATCGTATTCCTTACCACCAGCAGAAGTGATACCCAAAACCCTGGTGGAGATGGAGGTGCACCACTCATGCTCATCCCATAACCACCCATCGGACCTCCAACACTAGTATCATACAATCCACCACCATACATTCCAGATCCATAAAGTTTAAATGAAACAAACTCTTATTTATTTACAAACAACCCAACTAATCAAAATGAGTTGTTTAAGAGGTGGAATTAAAAGTTTTTAGTTAATTTAGCTAATAAATTACAATCCTTGTGTATGATTGTTTATCAAAAACCTAAACCACGAACTGATGAGAAGGGAGTCAACTAACTAACCATATCATTTAGCCCTGCCGTGAACTAGAATTAGGATCGTGGCTGAAGTAGAAAATGGCAGTAGCACCAAGGATGTCCATTAACTCTAGGAGCCTACTTGAGGTTAGCTTAAAGCATGAACAAAATTTTATTCAAGTAGAGCTACTCAAATTGTATTAGTGATCGATTTATAAGTTTGTTGTAAATTTAATTGGTTACTTTTAATTACGTAAATCAATAATTTAAATTGTTATCAAAAATAGAATTTTTTTTAATTTATAAGAATTTTGTATAAAAAACAATAATACTTTCAATTATAATCCTCTAAAATGTAATATATATATATATATATATTTTTTCATCATCTTCAAAATATATGAAATAAATATATGTATTTCGATTAAGATTGTATTTTATAATGTCTTTTTCATTTCGTCGAAAATCGATCTTAGTGTGTAGACTCTTATAACCTCCCCTCTATGCCTTGCAGCTGAGCTTCTACCTGGATGGTTTAAGCAACTCAGAAGACGAATCAAATCAGACCACGTTCAAATATTTTAATACTGAAGTTGAGCAACACAACCTAATGGAACATAATCAAGTCGCTCAATTATGATTTCAAGTCAAGTTCAAGCACACCAAATTAAGCTTTATGAAGCTTGAACATTTCACCGGGTCAACTAGGCTTGATCTAACCAACAAGCAGAACCACACGGATAATAGAGGCATTAAGATTGTAGTGCAAAACAACCTTTACTATGGGATCCCTTTCAACCATAATACATCTTATCCGTAGCCTTCCCAGAGATTGCAGAAAACCGGCAAATCAACAGCTTTCAAGCCATGGAACTTCCATTTTGTAGGATTGATATGATATATAAGTTGCTGTACATGGAATTGGATAACGCTCTATGCTACAACTACAACTACGACCCTATCTCTATTGCTCCACCCCTAACATATACAAACCTATACAAAAACATATATCATGACTAAATGACTATAATCTATGCTCGCATCTTCTACTCCCTTTTCCCCTTATTCCTTGAACTCAAGCAGTAACGACCATGCCACATCTAGAAACAGCACTTGCAGAGCTGAGCGGCCATTTATTTTGGTTGGACCATAGTGGAAAGCAAATGGACGAATGCATGAATGTAGATGGTCATTTCCTATCATTTCTCATTTATCTTCTTTCATAGAATTACATCTCTCTTGTAAGAATGGAACCCAGATTGAGTTCAAGAAAAAGCACTATGAAGGCCAGAGGCTTGCCGGCCGAGTATCAGCATATCTGCTATGAGCCTCCACCCAAAAAGCAATTGCTACTGCCAGAACTGCCAGTGGCAAAAGGCACATCTCGAACTTGAAATTTCACGTTATGTGTTCCAACATACTCCAAAATTTCTAGACACTCCTGTAAATCTGAGTCACTAACCAACATCACCCATTCCTCTTCATCATCTAAATACTTGAGCTGGAATGTCCCACTTTGAATTTTGAACCTTTTTGCAACTTCTTCATATAGCTGGAAACACCCGGCAGATGGCTCAAATTTAAAGCGAACAGTATCCTCTTTGTAAGTAGCTTTTATGGTAATTTTTGAGCTGCTATCAACACAAATTGTCTTCAATTTTGAATTCTTTGCCCCTGCAAAGCTCTGAGAGCTTGATGAACTTCCATGCAACATTGAACCAGAGCCATTTGAAGAGTCAGTCATGCTTGAAGAAGTAGGCTGGTGGTTATGTTCAACAATCCCATCATCACCCTCCATTCGGGTATCAATCTCATCAGCACCAGCCAAGGAGCTTGAGCTGCGAGACACAAAATGGCAGTCAGAATCCTCTAATTTCAGATTCCCCTTGTACAGACCCCATTTGTCACATCCTTCTGGTATATAAGAACCCATAGTCACATTTTCAGGACAAGTCCAAGGAGCAGGGCCAATGCTAGCTGCCTGGAAAGATCCTGCATCCAAAGCAACTGACTTAGAGTCCTCACTACAATCAATTGGAGGGATACTAGATTTCTTTGATTCTTGACAGGTACTAGGAACGAGCACACTCCTTGCAGCCCCTCTGTTGTTTCCACCAAAGGAACACTCATCTTCCTCCAACTTAACCACTGAATTCTCCCCATCAGGGCAGGATGCTAGAGGTGCTGATGGTTTCTCTTGATTGACGGGTTCAGGTGTTCTAACGGGAAGGTTATTTTCAGAGAATATTAGTGTTTTCTGAGAGTCAAATTCTTGGATGATGGTGCCTGCTGCAACAAATCCTCCTGTGGCTGGATCAAACTTCAATCCTCCTTCCACCCCTTGCACAGAGTCAAGAACAGTTTGTATTTTTCTTAATGATCTATTCACCTTATTAATCTTCCGAGAGGGCCATCTTGAGATCCCATGCTGTCTGCATATCCTTTTCAGTGTCGTGGGGCAAACTACAGGGAGCAGGAATACAAACATCAATCACAGATCAAAGTCTATGGTAAGAACCAGTTTCACTCTAGTGCTTGAAAATAATATTCCTACGCTTTTGTATGTTATTCATTACCAGAGTAAGAACTATTTTCCAGAGTATACAGCCTTGACCATAAAAAAATTCTAGAGCATAGGTTTGTAATAATTAAGTAAGAATTCTGCATTATTTACTTGGATTGAGTCAAAATACATTACAGTCATAATTTGATTTGAAGAATTCTCCACTCCATAAAATTTTTATTGTCAAATACAAATTTTATGCAGTATCTAAAGAATCTAGGTAGCTCAAGGTTGTTAAAAACTTAACAAGAATTATTTCACTCAATCAAGAGGGAATTGTTCTCCCTAATTTTTCATTTTATCTATTTTAAGAAGTAGGAAGTAGCCAAGTTTGAAAATTAATTTTTAATTTTTTTTAAAAGAATATTACTGAACCATACAACATGAATCATTTTGAGGATATAGCTTCATACAGAACTCAAATTCGTGACACCCTTCTTGTGGGTTGGGTCACCCTACCTACTCCACTCATTGGAGCACGTGCATGACATCAGAGTTGAGTACAGGTTGACTCTAATACCAGTGTCACAAGAGCATTACCCTCAACCCAA